GGGGGGGGGGGGGGGGGGGGGGGGGGGGGGGGGGGGGGGGGGGGGGGGGGGGGGGGGGGGGGGGGGGGGGGGGGGGGGGGGGGGGGGGGGGGGGGGGCGATATGAGGTGGCGATACTGCTATGCACTCTAGACGATATGCTCAAGTGATGTTCAGGACAGATAGGGCCACGTCTTGAAAGAGTTGTTACATTCTTGTTGCAAATAAAGGAAATGCTGCACGAAAAGAAACCGTTTTTCACTCGTTCACTCGGTGTTTCACTTGGTGCTGCCTCCCAGCATGTAAACAGCCCTTTCGCCACCTAACCCATCCATCAACGGCCAATCGTTGCTTCCGGCCAATAGCAACAGTCGCCGGAGGGCTTTCCAAGAAGCTGAGTGCAGCTGGCCGACTCTCATAAACCAGTGCGCCTTCAAAAATAATATACCAGACTACAAAACAACAGTCCGTTCTTGCAATGTAACCGATATGTCGCTGCCAAATGACGACGAGACGGGGGCGGGGGGGCTCTTTACCTTGTCGACTTCCGTGTCGCGCAGGGCAGCGATCCTCTCTACGAAGGGAACTTCCCACGCGTAGTACTTGACGATGCGGATTCCCTAGTATCGCAAGGGGGAAAGGGGGGCGGGTACGGTTGTTGCATGCCTTTCACTGTCGAGAGCGTTGAACGCTGCTGCGGTTGACATGGGAATGGCGTCCTTGTTCCCTCCGGAATTCAAAAGGACCACGGCTTGACACAGCAGTACTATTAGCTGTCCTTCGGCGCTCCATACGTGATCGCCATGTATCACTAAAAGAGGAGCAAGCCAGTAATGCAGACGAACATACGTGACAATGGGTGGCATAGCTGAGGAGACGGGCGACAGAGAGGACACGGCAACACCCCGCACCAAAGCGTGGTGAGATAAATGGAGCACCTGGCGGGTGACCGGGTGTACCAAGACACGCCACCTCAAACTACAACAAAACGCCATGGTCCATGTATTTTCCCTAAAAACACTCTCATGACCGTGCGCTCCGGGCGGCGGGAACGACATGAAATTTTGAACGGGATCGTTTTTTTGAAGTGAGTGCGCATAGAGTATTGAAGGTCAAATTTCGGGGGATCTTGCCGTAGAATTCCAAACAAAATGGAAGGTAGACATATGGGGCGTGTTTGGTCGACGTAGGCGATGGAGTGCTTCACTGCAACGACTCTTGCAGTGGCGATCCGAAATTGCGTGAACCCCTCAATGCTACCCATGCCTATCCAATCCACTCTGGCGAAGTCTCGAGCGAGATCGTCAACTCCTTCACATGCATGTAGCAGCGTGAGGTTTGGTGCTGAGAGCTGCGAGAAGGGCTTTGAATCAACAGCTCCTTCACTTTTGATTGCAAGGCATTCGCCAAGTTCAGAGCGAAGCCAGGGCGAATCACATGTCTGCGCGTGTAGAACACAACATGCTTCAGGTATCCTGCAGGTTTCATGGCACGTATGTAGCGATCTGTGTGAGGAGCACCCACTGTGACAAAGGTGTGCACCAGATGGTGTCACAGGGCAACACATCATGGAGGCCCACGCGTGTTACCGACGATTTCGCGGAGTCCCTTCGTCAAACTTCAAAGTAGTGTTTTTTTTCAACTCTTGGTGTGACCTGCAACCCGGGTGCGCCAGACGGTTATAGCGTCGCGGCCGACGATACATACCACCATGATACACGGAACCCCCTTACACCTCCGCAAATCCTTCTGTATCGAGTGCTGAGAACATACCTAATGCCACCACCCACCTGCAAGACTTCGTTGATGACCTTTACCCGCGACTGCGTTTGCTTCATCTGGGCGCGCTGAAGCCCCATCTGCTTGGCCGCAAGCACCCCCTGTATCGGGATCATGATCACCAGGAGCATGATCCCGGCCACCGCCGCCGCCCCGACGAGGTTGACGAGGAGGAACACGGCCACCACGATGAAGAGCGGGGTGCTCCAGATGGCGTGAATGCTGAGGGCCATGTCCGGGAGCCGCTGCGCGTCGTTGGACATGAGGGTCACCAGCTCGCCCGTGCTCGTGCTCTGCAGCAGGGGGGGGGGCGGCGGG